CATATTAACTTTACAAAATATTGGACATTTTCACACATGCATATAAGACATTGGTCATATCCATTCCCTTCCTTTATTTGGTGAGGAAAAAGGAAACTATGTGTTTTGCTTTCTGTACAACAAAAATTTAAATGTTTTTTTTTTTCTTAAATCAAACAACCTTTAGGTTTACAACCTACAAGTATAAGCTCTTTGTACACAACAGTGTGGGTTTCGCGCCAAGCCAAGAAGCAACAGTGACGACATTAGCTGGTTTTCCAGAGAGAGGTGCCAACATCACTGCAACTGTCCTCAGCCACACAGCCATCGACGTGAGATGGGCTAAGCCAAGTAAGAAAGCTTCTCCTGTGTTACGGTTTAGCTCAAGAATGACTTCGCCAGGGTCTCATATGCTGAGTCAGGGCTCCTTGCGAATGAATGGATCACAGGCTCATAGCTGAATGTGCTGCTAGGAGGTAGGGCTGGTTGGAAGGCGGTTACTGCAGTCATGGCCTGGAAGCGGGTAGAGTGTCTCCTTCCCTAACTCCTCCCTTCTCTCTCCGCTTCCTGGTCACCATGAGGTGAGCAGCTTTCCTCCGCCAGACCCTTCTGCCATGTCCTTTCTGCCTTGGAGCCAGTGGACCATGGACCGAACTGTGAACCTAAAGAAAACTCTCCTCATTTAAGTCCTGAGTGTCAGATATCACGTGCCAGCAGTGGAAAAGTGATTAAGAAATCAAACATCTAGTTTCCCTTCTTGTCTTAAACCAAAAAAAATTAAAAATGGAACATTAAAAACTAAAAAAAGGCCAGGTCGCTTTGCTCATCTTTTCAAAAGCAAAATCTCTCCTTCTTCACACTTTTTGATCAGCTCACCCTTCTCCTATTCCCTTCAGAATATGGAATGTGGTTTGTGTGACTACAGAGACTTGATAGATGGTGATCGCTGTGGCAGAACTGACCACACAATAATTTGATACTAAGCAGTGTTGTGCACCTTTGTACATGAAGCTGAGCTACAGCTTGTAAGCTACAGTTCACTGGCCAGAGCCACCTACTAAGATTTCGGTAAGGTGACAGGATCATCCTCAGTGCTGGTTGTGGACAGGATTCCAGCCAATATAGAATGAAACCTGAACATCCTCCCTGGATTCACTGCAGTTCAGCTAGGTCTGATCTTGGCTTTGACTAGAACACTTCTTTACAATTGTTTAGAAGTACTCACAAGTTGGCCTAAGCTGTTCTTGCAGCCTGGAAACCACGACCACTGAAATTTCATAGCTTGTACACCAATGGGTTAGCATTTAATATCTGATTTGTTATTTTTTTCTTGGTGAATCATTATGACAATCAGTAAAAAATAAATAAACTCTGGATCTACCCTGGAAATATGATTATAATCATTCTTATACTTAAAACTTGAGACCTGGAAGTAGTTGAATCAAAATGAATTGCCAAATATTGAGAACTATCTGACTGGTGAAGGCATAATTAAAGTATTTCAGGTTATGAAAGAAAAGTCAACTGTCTGGAGAATTCATCTGCTATTGTATAAAAATCGGTAAAGTTTCCACTGGTTGGGCAACAACAACCATGTCATTTTGAGGCACCTTTGAGTTGTGTTATAGCCTAAAAGACAAATGCTTCTCTTAGGACACCTGAGTCTGCTTCAAATGTTATTGTTATGTCATATCAATTATGACTTAAAACGAATACTTGGTGTCATCAGTTGTAAATTTAAACCAGTAAGTGTGTTAGTCAGATTTCTGTCACTGCAATAACAGACTTGAGATGAATCAACTTACAAGGAGGGTTTTCCCCCTCATAGTTTCAGTCCATGGTCAGTTGGTTCTGCTGCTTTGGGGCTGCAGTAAAGGAGAAATGTCATGGTGGGGACATAGGGCAGTGGAAACTGTTCACCTCCCCCAGCCAGAAGGTAAGGAAAGATGGGAAAGAGCCTGGGCCCCCACATCTCCTTCACGGCACAGAACCAAGGGCCTAATGTCCTCCCACAAAGCCCTGTGTCCTGAAGGATCCACAACCTCCCATTGGTGCCACAGGCCAGGGATGAAACCCTTAGCACGGGCATCTTGGGAGATCCAAGCTACAGCAATTTTGGTAATACTGACCCTGTTGCTGCCAGAGAATACATTTTCACAAAAAACTAAGTCTAGGGTTTTTATAAAGATGGAGTTTCTAATGATCTGTGGCACCTGTATGGGGATCCCTTAAACTACTTTATTGAAAGAACATAAATTAATTGATCACAAAGCTAGGTCTTCACATAGGGATGTATTTTAGCTCTATCTGGTGGATTTTTCACTCATCTCTCTCTTTCTCTCTAATCTAACTCACCAACAGGCTCATTTTAAAAGCCTGGTCACATAGGTAGCCTCAGCCCCCTCATCTGACATTTGAATGCTTCTGTGAAGATCCGGCTGCTGAATTCTCACCAATATAGGTCCTTTACATTATAATTGCATGCCTGAAATAAGCATGCTTATAAAAACTGACAAAGCTAATGGATCTGAAGCAGCTCGCTGAAGTTTCATTACCTTAGTAATCTGAACCTCTGACCTTCGGGATGTAGGTAATGCAATCCGCTGTTATTTCCATTCCTACCTTAGAAATTTTTCAAATAACTATTTGTGAGCACAAAGGTTAACTCTCCAAAGAGGGTCAGCTATGCAAAAGCTGTTGTATTATCTTTTCCTTCCTTTGTGCAAGCTGCTGTCTTAAGTAAATTAACCAGTCACTCCTCAACAGAAGGGCCCCCTAGGTTCCTCAACTTCAATTTTAAATTGTTTTCTTGATTGGTACAAAAATGTCACAGAGCCTACTACACAGAACCGCACAAAACTATAGTCTGAATATACCTGTAGTTGAGATCATCTGAATAAATTTATAAATGTTGACTTATAATTGCTTTTCAAAAAATCATAAAATACATGTTTAAAAATGTACTCTCTCTTCACTACACACCTCCACATTACATTTTGAGGTAATCAAAAACTACAATGGAAATTGAAATTATTTTTGTTACTTATTACTGTAAAAGCCACACTGGCAACAACAAAAGGATGAGTGTCTTTGAAGCAAGAAGATATTTTGAAGGGGATTAATGAGAATGTATCTTTTCCTGTAATAAAACTTTAATTTTCACATTGATTGATCACTTGTCATTTTGATTGCAAAATATTTCTGGTGCATTTTTACCAATCACGGGTTGACAAGGATGAATTATTAAAATTTTAGAAGGGCTACTTTTCAAAGTCAGCACCCAATAGGTGATGTTATGTAACTGCGTTTCTTCAAGAAAAATTTGGCAGGGAGCAGATATTACAACTAAGCAACACATGGGCCATGTTTTCTTCCTTCATTCTCTCTCTGAGTTTTGCCTACAGCATTTGAGAAAATAGTATTTTCTCACTACTTCATGGTCAGAAGAATCACATAAATTGGACACTTTGGGGATTCACCTGAAAATCAAATGATTAAGTGAAATTATGGCCACATTGGTGAAAGGACAATAGCAGCTGGCAGTGAGTAGCAGCTGCCCCTCAGGCTGGCTGTGGCTTCGCCACTTCCCCCACACCCATCGCTCTGGTCCCCAGAGAGATATCAGGTTTTCTTCCTGCTTTGTAGAACAGAACAGACTGTTTCTTCCTAAATAGAATATACTTCATATACATTGTGAAAATCACAGAATTGTAGGAAGAGACACAAAAACACCTCCCCTTAGATTGTTTATTCAATCTTAAGGCTCAGGCATCAAATCTTCCAGGACTTTGTATGCATTTAGCTATGATGTGATTGGCATTTAATCAAGAAAGATCCATGGAGATCCTCCCATTCTGACTGCTCACTCTAAAACAAAGGCCAGTAGCAAAAGGCCCCTGGAAGTGAGCATGAGGGTAAGTATGATGTTGGGATGTAGAGTCTGGTCTATGGAGGTCACTGGGGGCATGGCCTGGAAGGGTCCATTTCCCTCCTCCTCCCTTGATCTCTGTGCTTCTCATCACCATGCCATGGACCGTTTTTCCTCTGCTATGTCCCTCTGCCCTGCTGCCCTGCCTTGGAGCCAGCTAAGAGTATGGACTGAAACCTCTACAAACTGTGAGCCAAATAAACCTTCCCTCCTTAGGGTAGTAAAGTGTCTGGTGTTGTGTCTCAGTGATGAGAAACTAAGACATCTCCTAATCAGACATCTTATTTTCGACAATTATAAGCCCAAACTAAGGCACCACCAGATTTTATAACAGGAAACATTTCTGACTTGGTCTAAGTGTCTCTTGTTCCTGCAACAGTACATGCGAATTCAAAATTTTGCCTCTTCTGGGAAGCACCCAGCACTGTAGGCTCACCTTATTTCTCTGCTTCTTTGTGTCATTGTTTATCAAAGTACATGGACTGCATTTCCCTTCCAGTGACCTGCTGTAACCTGTCTTTGTGTCTGTGTCCTCTATTGATATGGTCCTCTGACAGTCATCGGTTATCATCTAATGACCCAACCAAGGCTGTTTCCTCAGTGCCATGAGGTGTGTGTGTATGTATGTGTGAACCAGCATGGTGAATGATTCCTGGCTGACTGAAAGACTTCCACCAAGGACCATAGCTCTTCTTTCTCACCAACTACTACTTTTCCTCATCCTTTAAATAAAAAATGTTCTTAATGTTCTTTCTGTATATTCTTTTCATACTCCAGTGCACATGCTGTGGATGCCATCTAGTCTCACAGTTGCAAATTTTTTTAACTAAATACTGACTGAAAGGCCATGTGAAGAAAGAACTTGAAAAGCAGGCTCTGAGGTCAGGGAGACTGAGATTGAAATTCCAGACCCAATCTTTTCTAGTGCTGTAACCTAAACAAGTCAGTTCAACTCACTGTCAGCCTCCTGATCTGAAATATGGGACTAATAATAATTGCCCTAAAATGTTGTAGTCAGGATTAAGTGAAATAGTATGTGCTTAGCACTGGATAATCATTTAGTATTTGTGGAAGGCATTTGGCTGTCTCTGAGATGTGCAAGGTGCATTCCTTGTCATTTTACAAAAGATAAAACATGTTGGGAAGCCATGCCTAATAAAATTCTCAGACAGAATTCTCCAAGGCATTCAGATAACAGAATTTCTACAGTGGAGATATATATATATAATTAACTTTATAATCACTTAACTAAGCAGCACAACTGAGCAAATCCAGTTGCCATGGTGGAAAGTACTAGCCAGTGTGGTGTCCATCTTTCCCCTTTCTTTCCATGGGGGTCTTGTTCCCTAATCTAGCAGCTACATGTAACAGCCTCCCTAGCAATTAGTCATGGCCATGTGAACTTCCAATAGAGGGTGTTTGC